CTCACAGTAGTGTGTAGGTCCGTCGAATCTCTCAATTGTAATCATAGGGGCTTCGTTGTCCCATCAGACCTTGAACATTGAAGACATGGTTTCCAAGGCATCAGCCAACTGATTTTATTCCTTAGGGAAGTACTCAAAGGTGATCTCCTCGAAGTAAAGAATTAGAGATAGCATAAGCTCTTTGTAAGGGGTGAGATTAGGGTTCTTAGTGTCCCAATCTCCTTTTACTTGGCTAATCACTAGAGCGGAATCGCATAACACATTCAAATGCTTGATCATCAAGTCAATGGCAGCCTCCAGGCCCAAAATACATGCTTCGTACTTAGCCATGTTGTTCGTACAATCAAAGCATAGTCTGGCAGTGAAAGGAGTGTGGCAATCTTCAGGGGAGATAATCACAACACCAATTCTGTTACCCAAGGCGTTGGAAGCCCCATCGAAGACCATAATCCATCGGGATCCTTGTTCAGGCCTGTCATACGGTCCAGGTTTCACACAATCGGTCACTAGCATGATATTCTCATCAGGGAAGTCAAAGTTCATGGGCTGATAATCATCAACATCTTGATGTGCCAAATGATCCGCTAGTATACTTCCTTTGATGGCCTTCTGTGTCGTGTATTGAATGTCGTACTCAGTTATGATCATTTGCCATCTTACTATCCGTATGGAAAGAGAAGGTTTCTCGAAGATGTCCTAGATTGGGTCCATCTTAGAAATCAACAGATTGGTATGAGTCAACATATACTGTCTTAGCCAGCGAGCAGCCCATGCCAGAGCGTAAAAAGTTTTCTCAAGCAATGAATATCTGGTTTCACAGTCGGTAAACTTTTTGCTCAGGTAGTAAATAGCATGCTCTTTTCGGTCGGACTCGTCATGTTAGCAAAAAACACACCCCATAGAGTTCTCTAGTACTATCAACTACATGATCAAGGGTCTTCCTTCAACTGGAGGCATAGGAATAGGAGGTTCTTGTAGATATTCTTTGATTTTATCGAAGGCAGCTTGGCATTCATCATTCCATCTGACTACTTGATCTTTCTTCAAGAGTTTGAAGATTGGCTCACAAGTAGCAGTCAAGTGAGATATGAAACAAGCGATGTAGTTAAGACGACCCAAGAATCCTCTAACTTCATTTTCAGAGTGAGGGACTGGAATTTCTTGGATGGACTTTGAAACAACCGGCTGAAAATCATCAAAACAATGAAGTCGCCATCGAACGTCTTTTATCCCACATGTAGGGAAAGGTAAACATCGAGAAAACCTGAGAAGGGTGAAATCGAGGTCGAACGACCAAGAGATAAGGGTAAGGGAGTCTGTTACGCGAGGGGAAGGTATTAGCACCCCACACGCCCGTAGTACTCTATGGTATCCACTCTTGTTATCTATCTTATGGGTGTGTTTGGTCTATGCTTACTGTTTATTACTGCTAAAGGGAGAATGCATGCAAAAGTAAAAGAGAAAAGAATGTAGGGAAAATGAAAAGTGTGCTCGTTCGGGCCCTACCCCGATGCCTACGTATCCCTTTTAAGGAATCAGAGCAGCCGTAGTTCGGCTTATATGTTTTTGTTGGTTTGTATTTTTTTACTGAACATTATTAATTTCGCCTTCTGCCGCAACTCGACCGTTGGAGACTTACGCGTCCGCACAAAAGTGAATTAACATGCTCTTCTGAAAAGTTTGGAAAGAAATGTGCCTGGACGCACAAAAAGTTTTGAATTCGTTTGTTTTTGAATGAACGATAGTAATTTCGCCTTCTGCCGCAACTCGACCTTTGGAGATTTACGCGTCAGCACAAAAGTGAATTAGTACGCTCTTTTGAAAAGAGTTTGAAAGGAAGGGCCCGAAGGCAAAAGAGTTTGTATTGGTTGGTATTTTTGCTTGTGGATAATAGCTAGTTGATCTCAAGAGAGAGATTTTAGCCATGTCTCTACTTATTCATGAAATGAGTCTTTGAGACTTGAACCATACCACAGCTTAGAATAAGAGAATAATAAGATCGAGAAGAAACCCGCTTATCATCTCTCATACTTAACACATATATGATTCTCGTCAATAATTTTTTTTAGTATTTTGAAGTTTGTAAAAAAAGGGAATTTTGTCTTAAATGCATATGCAAAAAAGTGGAAAGAAAAGTCAAGGGGATACTAGCCTATTTCTAAACCTAAATTTATCAGGCGTTGTTAGACCTAAAATTATATATTTCAAAGGAAATCTACCTGATGTTAGCATGCATATGGATGGCGGTAAAGTATGGAAATGAAAAAAAAATAGGGTTGTGACGATACCGAACGGAGAAGGTCCGTTGCCTCTTCGAAGCCACGTAAGCGATAAGAAAACTCTACAGAAGTTGCTCCGCATGAGTGATAAAAAATTAATCTCCAAGCATTTCTCATTACAAAAGTTGCATTATTACTATCACGCAATCTTGACGAAAATGACAATGAAAATGATTGTTAAACGTGAAATAATAGAAGGTTCTAATAAAATTCTAAAGAAAAATCCTAAAGAATTCTAAAAAAAATGCTACTATTTTGCATCATTTTATCGTGTGGAAAGTTAATCAAAATCATGAACAAATCATACAAAAAATAAAAATTGAAATAAATGAATTAACAAGAAAATAGAACATGAATGCAACAGGAGGTGCAAAGCCTGAATTAGGGTGCATGCTGCAAGCAACTGAAATAGCCCTTAAGCCCAAACTAAGTTCAGTCCAATGAGCTTTTTGTCCATGAACTTCAGCCTTCTCCAAAAAATGTTGTAAGGGGCTTAAGAAATATTATGGCCCAATATCCATAATAATCTCTTGTTTTCTTTTATTCCACTTATTATTATTATTTTTTATTTTTTATATCATCTTTCTAGAAACAATAAAAATATAACAAAAAGAAGAAGAAAAATTAAAAAAAGGGATCGTGATTAGGGAGGGTTACAGTAACTTTTTCCTTTCTTCGACGGCGCCGTTCTTGGCGAAACTCAGATCTCTTCCTCTCTCATGGCGGCGCCTCCGATTCACCACCTCTTCATCGTCGTCCGTCCTCTTCTTCTTCTCTGACGTAAATTCCGACGAGCATCTTTGTGGCCACCATCGCCCCTTTAACCTTCCCCAAATCTCTGATTGAAGGCGTGGAATTCCGGCGCGATGCTTGCCTACCTCCAGTGTCACCACAAGGTATCCTCCTCTTTTTTGATTCAACTTCTGCTTCTGCTTCTGCTTCTTTTACATTTGTGTTGTTGTTTTGATTTTGTTGTTTCTGTTTGTGATGTCGCGGCTGCGTATCGATGCGTGAGATTGATGAACAAAATTGATGATGTAGATACGTTGTTGCAGAGATAAAGTTAAAGTGTTAGGTTGAAAGATTGAATTGATGATGATGATTGAAGATGAAACATGAATGAGGCAGAGAGTAGAGAAAAAACTTTAGTTGCAGAAGATGAGAAAAGGTGAAGATATTTGGTGAGTCTCTTGTGAAAATGAATCGTGAATCTCTATTTTTGTGATTCTTCTTGAATGTTGAAGAATGATGATGAATGAAGGTGCATAGAAGGCTCATACATATGAGAGAGTTTTATGCGTTGGTGATTCTCCAGATTGAAGAATAGAGTTTGGTGAAGGAAGCATATGGAAAACGGAGGTTTGCAGAGAGAGAATGAAGATACAGAAAAGTTGCAGCCGTGAAGAGTTCTGCATTTTTTTGTGTTATAGAGAAAGATGATGGAAATCTCGATGCGGTTCAGAGAGAGAGAGAGAGAGGTGATTCTGATTTTTTTGTGGTGATTTTTCCAGAATGCTTGAAGAATGAATCATGAAAGAGGTAAACTTTTCTCTAACTTTTTCTGAACTTTCTTGAGAAATTTTCTGTGTTGAATAAATCATCCCCCTCAAACTGAATGATAATCTCCCTGTTATATAGATTTTCTGCTATATTGTTTAGAAGATGGGATTTGGTTAGAAACTGTTTAGAGTTTGTTAGGAGTTTGTTAGGAGTTAGTTTATAAAATTCTGTTATGGAATTAGTTAAAATTAGTTGTCAAAAATTCTGTTATGAGGAAGTTAGTTAAAAAAATGCTAGAATTCAGTTAGGACAGTTGAATGAGTTAATTAGAAATTGGTTAGGCGGTTAGAAGGTAGAAAATGTTAGAGGAAAAATGGGTCTAAACTTATAACTTCAACGATTACTTTGCAGTGAATGTTACGGGACATATATGACACATCTTCAATTTACAAATGGCACCCCGGACCCAACTTGTTGGGCATATTCAGCATACTGCATTCCAAAAAACTGTCTCAAAAAGTATTCCTCATATGGTATTCGACTATTGAAAAACTTCCAGACAACAACTGCGAATCCAATAGTTGATAAAGGATTACAGAGCATTATTTGAGTGCCAACAGACCAAATTAAGAAACCACAGTACCCCGGATGATGAATAAATTTATAAATACCATGTGTAACCAATTGGTGACGTTCATCAGGACGAACCCTTATCATATGAGTAAAAGATTTCCCTGCTGTTATTATTGCCGTTTTCCTTATAATTTCCCCTACAACAACCAGTACTAGGCCTAAATCACTGATAACCCAATATTCCTTTAGCTCGGGAAAGAAAGTAACCTCAATTAAATATTCCAGCAATGAAAATACCATTACTAAAAGATAGTGTTTGCTAATCAAAAGGGACTTCAAAGTTACACTTGACTTTCCATGAATGAAGGCGGCTAGAAAATATTCTGAAACATGAAAGAAGATAACTGCAATGAACATTTGAGACGATCGTCTGCAAGCAGTGTAGCTTAGGATTTCTGTCATTTTTGCCAAATGAATACAGCAAGCTTGTCTTGTTTCAATTTCTTAGAACTGAACTGTTAATTGTTTATTGATTTTTGCTTTTTAATCTTTCTATGCAGGGCTGAACTGTGGACGGGCTAGGAGTTCGTGAAGGAATACAATCTAGATAAGAGTGAATTATATTTACTCGGTAAGTCTGATTATGTAATGGATTCTCTGTCATCAAGAAAGATCCATAATCTTAATGAAACAGTGAAGTCGATGGTAGCAGCTGGTTATAAGAAAGAGTGCTATGATGTGTATAGCAGTTGGCGCAAGGTATTCTTGAAGGTGTGTCTCAACTCTTCAGGAACAGTGAAAAATCGTCCAGGTCTCAATCTTATGCTCCATTTCATAGCCTGCATCTCTGGTTTCTGATGCAACCAATTCTTAAATGACACTTTGGATTCACCTTCTCCACAGAACCCATCAAATGCTTCACTTCCAAGATATGCTGCAAAAGCAATAAGACGGAAATACCGTTCCAAGTACTCAGCATCAAGATTTAATGTAACCCTCCTTACCCTTTTGCTCAACATGTTGTTGATTGAATACTTTCCTATGTTCTAGAACAGCTTGGCGAATGTTTTGAAGTGCAGAACATCTATCAATAATACCATCTAAGGCCTCTCGGCACTCCACCCCATTATCAAAAAATGCCGTTATCTTCCATAACAAGAGGATGTCATTTATACCAAAAACATGCTTTTGTTTTTTTCATCTGACTTTGTTTGCAAATTACAGCAGTTTAACAAAAAGAGGAGGATATTTCTAAGTAGAAAGAGTGTGTACATTATAATTCTTTAATGTTTATATAGGAATTGGATGAAAATAATCTTTGTTCATTGATTGGTAAATGAAAATTCAACAAAGACCCTTATTTCAACTTCTTGCTGAAGTCTGAGAGTTGAAGAACGTGAATTCTGGCAATAGATGCAGCTTCCTGACAATGGTGGCTACTTCTGCATAAGCATCCATCGCCCCCAATTTTTTCCAGTACCGGCCCCTTCAGAAAGGACCCTGTGATCAGCTAGCACAATTGATAGGTGGGCAGAATCAATATCCTTCATCTCCTGTTTCCTTAGACAGGTATAGTACAGACGGAAGCAATTAAATGCTTAAGAGCAAGGTATAAGAATATACCAGAGGATCTTTTTCCATTTTTTGTATAGTATGATAATTCAAATTTATTCAGGTAACTTTGCAAATCATCCAAAGTGTATGGAATCACACTGTCACTTAGAACAAGGGATGAAGATCCACTTGGGCAGTCCCGCACAGCCGACAATTTGAACCACAAGAAATCATCTATCGAACTAAAAAGATTCTGTTGATCTCTAAGCAGGTAATCAATATGTCTTCGAGAACCTGATATGATGGCATGATTGCTTGTATTGACTTGGATTTTTTTGTATGAATGTGCAGGTCATGAACTGAAGATGAAGAACTTTGGCATGGCATGGAATTGGAAGTTTACTCATGGAATTTTAACAACTTTAGGACTAAGGAATTTTGTTCAAGTGTATTTTGTAACCATTTTCTTTTCTTTGTAGAATATTGGTGTAATGGGATTGTAATGATTTTATAATGAATGTTTGATTTGGATGAACTTGAAATTTATAGTGTGAATTGTAAATGACCTTTGAGCTTGAAATGTTGGGTGATGAATTTTAAGGACGGGGTTTAAATGACAAAGTCTTGAAAAAATGCTTGAAGACATGAAAGCATCAAATTTTCTTGTAAGGTATTGTTACACTTGAATGAAATTGAATGGAATTGGATAGTATTTTTTTGAATCATGAACGAAAGGGTTCGAATAGACTTTGAACACATGTGAACTTGAATCTGGAATAACGGTGAACATCTTTGTAATGCGTATGAACTCTGACTTGAAACAAAACCTCGCAGTCTGTACTTTACCTTCCAAGAAAGCCATATGAACAATGCTTAAGACTCTTTGCCGACTTTAATTCAACCAAACACTTTCGAACATCTTGAACTCAAATCAAACTTCAAATCCAAATCACACTTGCATTCTCAATGAACTCCTAACTTCAATCTTCAATGACAAATAATTTGAATAGCCAATAAGATTTTGATCCTAAAAAATTCACAACCTTGCCCTTTTGCATCATGCCTCATCCTACGATTCAATCCACAAGTCTCTTATTTCGACGAGGTCCTTCTCTAATTGACGACCTTTAATCATCAAAGATGTACACAAATGATAATGAAAGAACATGATCGAGATTAACATGAAACTTTATTTCCCCTGATCTTCAATTACTTGAACATTTATCAATGAATAGAAACCCTGATTTTTAATGAAATCTTCCTTTTCTAAACCAATATTTCTTTTCCTTTACCATACTATTCTTCAAATGCAACTCGAATTCCCAACACATATTAGATGAAAATTCAAGGGAGACCTTGGCCCCAAAGTTAATTGTTCAAAGCTTACTTTAACCGAAGTCAACAGATCTTATCCTCGTATCTTTGAACTTGGCCCATGATTATGCATCTCAAGGTCTCATAAGAGCTTGTAAGCCCATCAACCAGGTATGCCATGTTGAACAAAACCCTGCCTTGAATGCCTTGAACTTTCAATTACCTTGCATGAATTCTTCCCTGAGAAACCCACTTCAATCCCAACCTACTCGCATCGCAGATAACAAATGACAATGATGAGGACAATGATTGCCTTGGTTAAGGAGAAATCTATGAATTCATATCTTAGGTCATGAACCACGCTTCACAATTCAATCCCCAGCCCTTAGCGATCGGTTATTTCAACTTGAAATTAGCGTCATAAGGAACATCTTACCGAGGGATGATAAAGTATGAATCACAGAAGAATTCCCTTGACGTGAAACCTAGTTGCACAAATGAAAACCCCAGCACTTGCCAAGACTGGATAAAAGCAATTATATCTTGAAGAGAAAGAAATCATGTTAACCACACCTCACAATCTTGATTCCCCGTTTAGATGCACAAAGAAATATCCGGATAAAACATCTTTGAACCATGATTCAACAAAACCTAAATTGATTAACTGAGGAGTAGATGAATGTCATGTCACAGTCATTAATCCTAATCAAATGACAAGCATACTTATAGGAAAGGATGCCATGCTTCAAAGTCCACATATGCTCGGTCACGTCCTAGAGTTCTTGACCAGAATGACCTACAACCAGTTTTTCATCAGAAGATATTAGCCCAGTAACTTGGTGGAGAAGAAGTCCAAAAATGAGCCTAAAAAAACCTAATTCTAATGCTTGTTGCATGAATAAGAAATCGTCCTTTATTGGATACGAGCGCCTTAACCACTGTGAAACCCTAGTATCGCACAACCACTGAACTTTGAACCTCAGAGCTATATTGAATGAAATGCATGCCATGTTAGTGACCTAATGAAATAGATGCAGATGAATGCAAAAGTCTAAGCCAAAAAAGTGCAATTAGGAGGGCAAATTTTGGGGTGCAACAGACTTTACCTTAGCGGGATCAACTTCAATGCCTTTATTGCTGACAACAAAACCTTAAAGCTTTCCAGATCATACTTCAAATGTGCACTTGTCAGGGTTTAACCTCAACTTGTACTTTTTCAACCTTTCGAATGGCTTGTACAGGTGATCGAGATGTTCCTCTTCAGTTTGTGATCTGAAAATCATATCATCCACATATACCTCTATTTCATGATGAATCATATCATGAAACAAAGCTACCATAGCCCTCTGATATGTTGCCCCTGCATTCTTCAATCCGAACGGCATGACCTTGTAGCAAAAGGTGCCCCATTGCGTAAATAAAGTTGTCTTCTCCATGTCTTCGGGAGCCATCCTTATCTGATTATAGCAAGAGAAGCCATCCATGAAAGAGAAGACTTTATGCTGAGCAGTGTTATCGAACAAGACGTCAATGTGAAGTAGAGGGAAATCATCCTTGGGGCTTGCTCTATTCGGATCCCTATAGTCTATGCACATGCGAACTTTTCTGTCTTTCTTTGGTACTGACACCACATTTGCAACCAATTGGGGATAAGATGTCACAGCTAGGAACCCTGCATCAAATTGTTTCATCACTTCAGTTTTTATCTTTATAGACATGTCAGGCCTCATGCGACGAACTTTTTGTTTGACAGGAGGACAATCTTCCTTTATGGGCGGATGATGGACTACGATGTCGGTATCAAACCCTGGCATATCTTCATAAGACCAAGCAAATATTTCCACATAATTATGCAACATTCGAACCAACCTGCTCTTGACACTGCTTTCCAAGTTAGCGCTGATCCTGATTTCCTTCTTGTTTATCTCAGTACCCAGATTGATGACTTCAACTGACTCTTCGTGCGACTGAATAGCTTTTTCCTCTTGTAATAGAAGTCTGGCTAGTTCTCCCAGTATTTCACAATCTTCCTCGCCCTCGTCTTCGACTTGGTTTATTGGACATTCAAAGTCATAGTCGGCAATAGTAGATTCATTGGCAATAAGATCCAGAGTGGATGAGGACCTGCAAGAGTGTGTGTGTGCATGTAAGATACATGGCTACTTTGAGAAATTTATTTGAAGAAAAAGAAAGACAATGAACACAAATATTTGAATGCAAAAGAGTCCAATGATTTGTGTTGAATGATCATATGATTAGATGAACATGAATAAAACCCTTGACAAATGGACCATAGTTCCCCGGGCCAGGCACATGGCTTAAAAGTCATTGTTAAATATTATAGACAAAATGTTCTTGAATTCAATAAAAAATCAATAAACAAGTGATTACTCCTCAATGACGGAGATGGGCAAAAAGTCCTCTGCATGCTAATTATGGAGCTCCGTTGTAGTAGGATACACCCAATATTCAAATTCAGCTTCTTCATCAGAATCACCTACAGCGCTAACTTCATTGACACCCTTTCCATGCTTTGGCATGGGCGTGGTAATTACATTCGGAGTTGGAGGAGGATCAAATTCAACAGTCTTGTTATCGATCAAGTCCTGGATTTTATTCTTCAAGGCGCAACATTGGTCAGTCTCATGCTCGGGGCTACTTGAGTGGTAAACACATTTGGCGTTCGGATTATACTTTGGTGAAGAGGTATCTGGATTGGCAGGAGGATCGCGTAATGTCACTAAATTAGCCTTTAGCAAGTGTTATAATTCTTGGGAGAGTGACATGCCTATCCTTGTGAATTGTCTTCTCGGAGTTGTAAACCGTTGATGATTAGCAGATGGTCTTGGAGCAGGAGTTGGATTGGAGATTCAGACAACATTAACAAACTGATGATCATTCTTCTTGGTACAGGCCCTTTCCCCGTACACAACATTGATTTCCTTCTTTGCAGCAAAAGTTTTCTTTATAAGATTAGAAGTGGAGGCAGATTCCATGGAAATCATCCCACTTTTGATGCCGCTTTCAACTCTTTCACCAGTTAAGATTAATTCAGTGAAACCGGAAGAAGAAAAACCAACCAACAAGTTAAAGAAAGGACCAGATAAAGTTCTCATAAACATGTCAATGTGTTCCCTATCAGTCAGAGGTGGTTGAACCCTACTGGAGAGGTCTCTCCACTTTTGTGCATATTCTTTAAATCCTTCACTCTTCCCCATTGTCATATCTTGCAACTAAACTCTTGTCGGCCCCAAGTCGGCATTATACTGGTACTAATGGTAGAAAGCGGTAGCTAAGTCTCCCCAAGTATTGATGCGGTAACCATCCAACTGGTAGAACCATTCTAGTTGCGTCCCGACCAAGCTTTCTTGGAAAAAGTGAACCCAAAGTTTCTTATCAATGGTGTGCGGCTGTATCTTGCGCACATAAGATTTCAGATGAAGTTTTGGACAAGAAACTCCATCGTACTTTGAAAAGAATAGTATTTTGAATTTGTGGGGAATGACAATCCACAATATCAAACCTAAATCATCAAAATCTAAACTGGGGATGGCTTGGATCTCGACGGCTTTCAATATGTCTTCTAACTACTTGTACTTGACATCAGTGGGTGGATACTGCTCGTCGAAATAATCATCATCAGACGCTTGACCATTGATGCACCCATCTTAGGTACTCTTAGCTTCTCAAATCTGATTCTCGTCTTCTTCAGATGAGTCTTCCACCACCGGGATCTGACGAACCGACTCTTTGAACCTTCTGCCCATGTTGACCAGGGCTTTCTTCTTAGGTTTCTTCTTAACTACCAACAATTCCATCATATCTTGTTGCCCCTTGGATAGGGCCTGTAGAGTCTCTTGGAATTGAGAGTTTTGTGTCTGAAGATCCTTCACAGTTTTCTCTAGATCCATCTTGCTGAAATAAACAGCAGAAAGATAAGGAAACCTGTTATGTGAAAACCTGTCATGTTATGATGCACAGAAGATGTATATGCAAATGATTTCAAGGATTTATGAAATTTAAATTTGTATAGACAAAGCATGAACAAA